GAAGTGTGAGGAGGAACCAAGAGAGTAGGACACGGGAGCCTGTGAAGTGCTGCAGAGTAAGGCAGTAAGGACATCACAGGAGTGTTGTTCACAGACCTGTAAGACAGCCCCATCCTGTGACCCTGCACGACCTGGAAGCAGGTAGCCCCTGGCCTCTTGGCAGACAGGCTGAATCAGCGTGCTGATGGATCAAAGTGGATCAGCCAGCAGCAATGGTGCCAGGTCACAGTCCTCAGTGATGCTCTCAAAGGCAGAGTGTATAATTATGTGCTCAGTGGATTTTTTAATAAGACAAAGAAGCAGTTAAAAATCCCCACTGAAGAGGAGAGGAGCATGGAGCTTGGCTACTTGCATTCCCCTAAGACAGGAAGTAATTCACAGTGCGGGTACCTGGTGCCACCTGATGCAAGTGCCCCACCTGGCTCCGGGTGAGGGCGGGCCTCAGACAGGGCTTCTTAAGTGATTGTTGCTAGTTTTGTAGTCTTGTGGGGACTGGAACCAAGGCAAATCTGGTCTGCAGATAAATCTTCAGTGGCAAGTGTCAGAAAGTAGAGGGTCCCTGTTGTGCAGCATGAACCAACCGACAAACTTGGAATTGGCTCTTCAATATTTCCCTGTTTCTCTGCTGACATCAAGGGAAAGAACATTCAATCTAAATTCTGTACCCCACCCCTGAAACATCTGTGGCCAGTCCTGGTCAGCACTGGAGCTGCACAGACTAGTGGGGCTGCAGCAGTCACAGGGAAATGCATGGCCAGCACTGGCTGGAGAGAAGGGGAGCTCTGAGGCTTCAGACCTGAGAGCATCTTTAGCCAAATCATGGATCCTGGATTCACCACCCGGGAAAATACATTCAATTCCCAAGAAAGTGAGAGGATGAGAAATTTCAATTATGGCCTCCTTGAAATATGTGGAGATAGAAAGTGACTGTCTCAGACTCAGAAACTCTGGGATCAGGGGGAAACAAGGCTGCTAGCTTGACCCTCATAATGATAGCAGCAGCCATTCTATCTAGCAGTCCTGCAGGTTCTAATGTTCTGCTGTCTTGTCCTCTATCTTCTGTTCATGTTTTAGTTTACTTTCTTTTTATTTATTTATTTATTTATTTTTTGCAGTACTAGGGATTGAACCCAGGGCTTCACGTGTGCTAGGCAAGTGCTCTATCACTGAGCCACATTCCAAGCCATTTTAGTCTGTTTTCTACTGCTCTGACAGAGTATCTAAGGTTGGTATGCTGGTGACTTACAAGCAGAATTTATTTGGCTCATGATTCTGGCCAGAACACATAGAAACTCTTCACTAAACGACTCCCACTCATGAGAGCAGAGCCTTCAAGACCTGAACATCTCCTAAAGATCTCACCTCTCAAAACTTACAGTAGCAATTAAATTTCAACATGAGTTTTAGAGGGGACATTCAAGTCATAGCAATGTACATGGAAGATACTAGACTCAGAAACATGAAGAATCTGTCTGAAATAATTTGCATAGTTAAGATCTCTAATGGAAACAGTCAATTCTTGAAGTTTCTTGCTAATCTAACATCAATACAACTTATAACTGTGCCTATCTATCAGTCCTCCTCAGGAAACTTCTCAATACTATACAATCAGAGGAAATACGTTCACTAAAAAGAAATGTAGCTATTTTCTTTTTGTTCTTCTTCTTGATACCTGGGATTGAAGTGAGGGGCACTTAACCACTGAGCCCCACCCCTTTAAAAAAATATTTTATGTACAGACAGAGTCTTGCTGAGTTGTTTAGGGCTTCACTAAGTTGCTAAGGCTGGCTTTGAACTTATGATCCTCCTGCCTCAGCTTCCCAAACCACTGGGTTACAGGTGTGCACCACCATGCCTGTCCAAAATGTAGCTGTTTTCTAAGGATATAAAAAATGTCTATGAAAGGACAAAACACTACCCAGTGTAATTTTTTTGGAAATATTTTTTAAAAGTACAAAATCAAGAACAAAGTAGAAAGTTATCTCCAAAACAAAATGGATTAATCATCAGGGAATGTTTTGTACAACTCAAGGCAACAAGTAGGAAAATATGAATGGTATAACTATTACTAGGAGATTCTGTTATGTAAATTGTCTGAAGAAAAAAAAATTAAATCTGAAAATCAATAACTGTGAAGGAAATTGAGAAGGGTTAACTTAAAGACTCTAAGGAAAAGCTATTTAGCATGTGTACTTACATGACATCATTATTTATTATTATTTATATATTGTATACTATTCTTATATATACCAAAAACACAACGTATTATTTATTATTCTTGTCCTGTAAATTATATGCAAAATATAAAACAATCTCCAGTTTTTTTAAAAAAAACTCTGACAAGAATTTCAGAGAAATGTAGAAGCTAATTAGAAAATCGAAGGTCAGCAACTCTCAAACATTTTGCTCACCTTTACACTTTAAAAAAAAATCACTGAGTGCCTTAAAGAGCTTTGTTTATGTGAGCTCTATTTGTAAATATTTATCACTTTAGAAATTAAGGCAAACATTTAAGAATTCACTTCTTGGGCTGGGGATGTGGCTCAAGCGGTAACACTCTCGCCTGGCATGCGCGGGGCGCTGGGTTCGATCCTCAGCACCACATAAAAATAAAATAAAGATGTTGTGTCCACTGAAAACTAAAAAATAAATATTAAAAAATTCTCTCTCTCTCTCTCTCTCTCTCTCTCTCTTAAAAAAAAGAATTCACTTCTTAATTTATTTGGACAATCATAATAAAACATTAGGTATTCACTTTAAGTAATATGTTCATGCAAATAACATTCCCAAACAACAACAACAAAATAATAAGACTGGCCTTGTTTTACATTTTTGTAAAACTCTTTTAGTTTCTGGTTAAATAAAATATAGGCAGGTTTTATTATCTGCTTTTTACATTCAATCTATTGAGATAGCAGATGTTATGTAGCCTCTGTAAAACTCTATCATACACTCCATAGAGAATGAGAATAAAAAGGGAGAACAATACCTTGGTTTTAGTAGGAAAGTAGTTTTGACATTGAGGACCCTGTAAAAAGATCTTGTAGGTCCTCAGTGTCTCCAGACCATACTTAGAGAATCTCTGATATAACTAAATTTAAATTATAAATGTGGTTACAAAAATTTAAGAGAAATATTAGTAAATAGAACCCAGAAGAACACTGAAAGATGAGGTGCCATGTCCAAGTGGAATTCATTTCAGGAGCAAATGATCATTAAGAAATCTATTTAGTATGTATTTAATGTTAATCAATCATTCAATCATATCACTATCTGCTAAAAAGTATTTCACAAAATTCAATATTAATTTTTGACTTAAAAAAATTAATAGGGAAGAAAATATGATAATTCCTAGGAAAAGAAGATATGATTAAACAAGTATGTATTTAATAGTCCACGTCATGCTTAATTAGAATATACTAAAACCACAATGTGACACGGCAGAGCTTTCTGGTGCACTTAGGGATTGCTCAGGATGGTAATGAATGGGGGAGCCAGTGGTAACTCACAGCAGACCCTGATCAGTATCAGAGATGGTGGCTGGAGGGTGAATAATCAAACCATTTAAACCATCATTCCTCACCACTTTCCACTGCCCAGTGTACTTTCTTACTGGTGAGGCAGTGAGCAGTGTTTTTTTGGATAATAGTGCCTCTACGGAGATACTCAGTGGCAATCTGCAGGCAGGCCAGCCATGGCCAGGAGCTGGCTGTGGCCTTCTTGCGTCTCATCATCCACCTGGGTTGGGGCCAAGAAGATGCATATTTATTGCCAATGGAGAGACACCTGGAAATAATGATAAAAAATATTTATTCTATTCTAGAGAGATAAAAAACAAACATTACCTGAAGTGGGTCTCTCACCCAGGAGCACAATATCAAGCTCACCTTTGACCCCCTCTTTTTTTTTTTTGCTCTAACTATTCAGTCTTCAAATATTTTAGTTGCAATATCTACAATATATCTTACATTCATCTTCTACCCACTAGAAGATATTCTATCTTAGGGTTTTAGTCCTCTGGGTAGGTGTGATATTTAAAATCAGACACATGTGAACTTTCTTGTCCTTAAGTTTGTATGGTCACATATAAAGGAAGAAAGTTTTAAAGAAGGTTTGAGTTCAGTGAGAGAAAATTAAGAAAACGTTCTTCAGGATATATAGTGAATTATTTAATTTTATTCACCAAATATTTATTTGATACCATCTTTGTTCTGGGCATTGCAGCAGGTCCTGGGAATTAAATGATAACTGTCACGGAGGGTTGTAACTAGATTCCTTGGAAAATACTGTTTGGTTTAGGCTGATGAAAAATGACTGTGCTGAATGTACTCCCTAGTGGCCAAGAGAAGGAAATATTGCAGCCACACTTCACCTGGGGTCTCTGTGCATCATGAGGTCTTTGTCAAGGAGGACAGAATGAAAAGATTCAGACTGCTCCCATCCCTTCTCATTACAAGTAATATTCACTATCCACTCCACTCTATTATTATGTGTTCTATGTTTCAGAAAATTTGTAAAAATAGAAATAAATAAAAAATAATATGCTTGACTTTTAACAAACTATTAAAATGGCAAAGTATGAAAGTTTCCCTACTTCCATCCTCTGCCTGGTCCCCTCACCAATGTTTCATCTATATGGAACAGGATATCGATGTCTATGTCAGTGAATGTCATGGAGAACACAAGGAAATGGTAAATCTCAGTAAATTTCAAAACTCATTGATGTTAAAACATAGTGGTTTTACTTGCTGTTATTCAGTGAAAGATCTTGTGAGTCAGAACAGGAGTTGGCACATAATTGAGTCATCCCCACCAAATGAGTCAGTTAAGAAGGGAGTTTTTATTCTTGGACTGGAAATATTTCAGCGTTGCTTTGAACAGAAGGGACAATGACCCTTTTGATATGTCAACTTGGTTGGACTTGCGCCTGTAGTTATTCAATTGAACACTAGGTGTTGCTGTGAAGGATATTTGCAGCTATCATCCCTAATCCATTGCCTTTAGGTAAGGAAAATCATCCTGGACGTAATGAGTTGGAAGATCTTAAAAGCAGGGCTGAGGCTTCCTGAAAAAAGAGAAGAGATACTGCCTACGGAGAACAACTTCAGTTCCTGCTGTGGATTCAATACTCTCGACATTTTCCTTTTCTGTTTGCCTGCCTTAAGGATGTTCTTGCTTGGTCAGCTCTTACAAATCATGCAAGCAAATTTTGAAGCACTCATTTGCTAGAGCTGCTATAACAAAGTACCACAAACCAGGTAGCTTGGAACAAGAAGAATTTATTGTCTCGCAGTTCTAGAGATCCAAGATCAATGAGCTGGCAGGTTTGTTCTTTTGGAGATCTGCGATGGAGGTTCAATGGACCTTTCTTGCTTCTGGTGGTTCACTGGCAACTCTTGGTGTTCCTTGGTATTATGATTTGGGAATAAGGTGTCCCCCCAAAATTTCTGTGTTAATGCATGAATATTCAGAGGTTAAATGATTAGACTGGAAGCTGTAACCTGGTCAGTTCACCCTAGTTTGAATGGATTGACTGGGTGGTAACTTTAGAGGAGGTGGGTCACTGGAGGTATACTCTGGAAGAGTGCATCCTCACTCTGGACCCTATCTCTCCCCCTTTATCTACTTTCTGACTCAATGAGGTGAGCCATTTTTGTGCACTGTGTCCCTCAACCGTGATATCCCACCTCACTTTGGATCTAGAGCAATAGACTCAGCCATCTATGGATTGAGAAATTCTGAAACCAGAGCCCCAAATAGACTTTCCCTCCTTTAAGTGATTCTTGTTAGGAATTTTGGTCATAGCATTGCAAAGCTGACTAAAACACTTGGCTTATAAATGATATGTCACTGGATTTCTGCTTTCTTCTTCATATCATGTTATTCCTTTGTATGTGTGTCTCTCTACATCCAAATTTCCCCTATTAAGACTAGCATTCATATAGAATTAGGGACTACTCTAATGACCTCATTTTAACTCAGTTAATCTCTGTAAAGACCCTATATCCAAGTAAAGTCACATTCTAGGGTACTGGAGGATTCCAACACAATTTGGAAGGAAAACATATTCAACCCATCACACCTGCTTCTCTGACTGAACCCTGGATAATATGTTCCATATATGTGTGTATGTGTGTATATACATATGTGTGTGTGTGTGTATACACACGCATACACATTAAGTAGTTACAGTCCCCAAACAGCTTACCAGAAGCATTAATTTCTTCAGATGGCACATTCCATGTCTCCAGAAACACTGGTCCATCCTCTAATACCAAGGTATTTAAATCTGGATATAAACATAACATAATTACTTAATTCACACACACACACACAAAAAAAAGGGTTGGTTTTCTTTGTGTGAATTAAGTCATCAGAAAATGACTTATAAGTCATCAGAAAATGACTTATGAGATAATGTTAGAATTTTGGGACACCTCAGTTAGCAGGACTCTGTGAGTATTTTAACTGAGAAGTGGAATATTGTAACTATAACCTGGCTTTTTTCTTCCAACAGTAGTTTCTTAACAAGAAGGAACAACTTGGGAAGCAGATAATTGCTTCGTGGGATCTCCCATATGGAAAAGGGATCATGGTGAAGACTGGGAAAAAAGATGTGTAGGTTCCAGGGCCTGGGATTGGTGATTATATTTCATGTTCTGTTTTTTTTGTTATATGAGCCCTTGCTTATAGCCAAGTGTATCGTATCTGATTTAATCTCCACTCCATTCTTTCCTAGACATGATTATTCTCCCATTGTAAGGTTGAAAATGACATTGAGATGATTCTTTCTTAAAAACCACACATCTAGTAAGGATAGGCCAAGATTCAGACACACCATATATCTTTCTTATTTATAGGTTCCATATATGTGAATTCACCTACTCACTAAAATGTATTTATAACCTCAAAAGCAATATTCATGGTGCTTTCACAAACATCTAACTTTCAGGTTTTCAGCTGACGTAAAATAAGGCAATTCCCTGTCTTCTTGTTTCAGCTCTCATCCTATAAACAAATGTCCTTTTCGTTGTCTATTTAGTACCACATTGTGGGTGTGCTTTTTGTTGGTGACTTCAGTTTAGTGTGTCTTCCAAGCATAGTGCTGAAGTGCCCTCTAGTGTTCCTAAGTGCAAGAAGACTGAAATGTACCTCACTCAGAATGTGTTAGAAAAGCTTTGTTCAGATATGAGTTATAGTGCTATTTGCTCTGAATTTAATACAAATGATCATTAATACATATGAATAATGTGTCTTTAAGCAGAAACACTTAAAACTAGGTTATGTATTGATGGGTTGATAAAAAATGTACAGTGCCCCCAGGAAAATAACTTTGTATTTTCTTAGGAGGAATGGCTGAGTAGCCACTTATTCAGTGTTCACAGTGACTTTATAGGATCTAATTACCACAAATTATGAAAATCAAATGGATCCATGTTGGATTCTAAAGGCTTCCCTTTATTACCACTCTATGAGGATTAGAATTAGACACTGAAGGATCGTTGCCTCCCTCTTCTTACCTGCTATAGGAATGAAGGAGACTGCAGCCTGGAAGCCTCTGAAGGTCCCATTTTCATCTGATTGGAAGTTGATGAGCATGACACTGGAGGAGCTCAGCACAGGGGGAGGGACATCATAGCCACACAACCGAGCTGGTTGAAGACCAATCCAAAGCATCATCCAGTGCCAGGCAAATAAACATGACATGGATAGGAGAAAAAAATGTGTCCTCTAGTTAACTTTTGAGAAGTAAGCTTTTCAGGTAAATATCACACTTCATTTTCAAAATAAAAAGGCAGCTTGCTTTTTAAAATATTCATTTAACCCCATTGATATTTCAATTCTGTTTCGTCTGCCACACTCCCACTAAAACGCTGCCAAGAGTTGGTTCCAGCTACAGGGCTTATTTTGATGGGACTTTCCCCATCTGGCTCTTCCTTCATTGTGGGCCTTTTGAATTTCCCTTCAAGTGGTTCTTTGGTCCTGTCTCTCTCCTCCTGCCCTTGAAAAAGGAGTGGTGGTACAGGGGAATTAAGGAAAACTGAGCCATATCCTTCATCTCAAGACTGGGTCTAAATGCAAACCAGGGGAAGCTGAGCCTTTGAGGAACACAAACCTATTTCCTTCTTCCTTTCTACATCACTGTGCACTGTCACATAGTCAGAAGTGCAGTCTCCACTTTCTTCTATTTCCAGACTCTGAAATGACAGCTGAGGAGACTTAAGGTTATTCTCAGAGTAAACAATACAGATGAATGACCTTATTTTGATTAAGCAAAGAAATCTGGATTTGCTCAACTTGCTCTGGAGGAAGACCTTAGAAGAGAAGAGTAGCATTTTCCGGTTTTCAACTAAATTCCTTCTTCTTACTCCTCCTAGAAATATGCTTATATTTAAATTCTTATCTTTCATTGTGAACAAAAAAATTTTTTTCCCTTAATTCTGCTGAAATTTTTGCCTTAACTCTGTTTTGGTTTTCAGAAAACATTAGAAAAAGAAGATCTATACTCATCTCACTCATTTGTAAAACTTATTTGATCTTGTTTCTGCTCCTAATTTCTGACTTATTTTAGTACTTCAGACACTGCCACGCCCAACTTTTTTCAACTTTTTAATTGTCCAATCCAATTATTCTGCCTTATTGAGGGGTGTGGTGGTGTCTGAACAGTTCATCCTTAATTCTCATTCTCTTTAAACTCTATGTCGTAAGCCCAAAACTATTTGCCACATCTTTTTGTTTATTTGTTTTATTTTGTGTTTTAAGTGAAAAGATCCATTCTCTGGAGTGACTTCACCAATTCAGTTTTACTCCTGCATCTCAGACCTCTTTCCTGTTCAAATATGGTCATGCACAACATAACAATGTTTTGGTCAACAATGGACCACATATGGGACAGTGGTCTCATAAGATTATACATCTTGTGACCTTGGAGCTGTCTTGGTTGTGTGAAGACACTCTGTAACAGTCACACAATAATAAAACACCTAATGACCATCCAATTCTCAAGACGTGAACCATTGTTAGGAAATACACTCCCACACTGGAGAACTTTGAGGCTTTGAGGTCTTGTCTGCCCTTACTCCTTCATATACCCCTTGCTTTTAATTATTATTTTAAAAGAAATACTGATAAATAAATCCTAAGTCCAATCTCATCCTGACTGTAGCCTGACCTTCAGCTACCTAGTGACATCTCTCTGCAGATGGCCCACTAGTGTTTAATGGGAAAACAAACCAATGAATGGCCAGTAACACTCATAGGCAAATGTGGAATAAACACCATATCCTGATATTGAAGGGTCTCAGCCTTACCTCCTACCAGCCCCCCCACCCCAAGTACACTTGTGACTTTTTGAAGCTAGTCATCCACTGTGCCTATTCTGCATTGTTTCTTCTTTGCTCTATCTCCTCTACTTAGAAGGCTTAATGATTTTGGACTAATTGTTATTGACATCTGTTTGCCATTACACACACAGTGTTTTGTCAGAGGTTGAATTGTAAGGAAGAAATGCTTGTTTCTAGAAGGAACTAGAGACTGATAAAGTCACCAGGTACAAAGGTTAAGACAACACTATTTTGGGGGGTTTGGTTTTGTTTTTAACAAAAACTAAAGAGTGCAAGTGCTATCTAGTGGTAAAAGTGGATAGTTGCAGGGGAAACTAAGCTGGTTCATTATTCAAGTGTTTAATTAAAACTTGAATATAGCAGTGGATAACTCAGATAAAAACCTCTGCTGCATGGTGCTTCTGATAGCTGTTCTGTGGATATGCTATGGCTAAGGAAGAGTAACCCAAGTAAATACCTTAATTATGTGATGTTTGGGGGCTTGAAAAATCCAGTTACAGTTGGCCATGTCATTGTAGTCTTCAGGATAGTGAAGACTCTGTATGATGCCTTCTTTAAAAAGGATAGTTAAGGAATTGCAACCTGAATCTGAAATACATAAAGAAACTCTAAACAAATGGAAGCACCTAAGGAAGAGGAATTCTCATTGTTCTCCCTCCCATCTCTCACAGGTGATGTGTGAACTGAATCTTTAGACAGAGCCAACAAGAAGGAAGAGGGATGTGCATAGATCTTACAGAATTCTTTGGGTCTTCTCAGCTTACTTGGTAGGTGATAAATACAAAGCATCAAGGCTGTGGAAGGAGAGACTGCACCCTGCTCTCAAGCTGGCCAGTTGGTCCCCTTCACTATGGAACTAGTGGGCCTTGCCAGGGGGCTTATGCCTATGATGCCCAAACTTCTTCAAAGGGTCTGGAGGGCATGTGATAAGTATAAATGGTTTTACCAGGAAAGTAGTTTGGGGTAACAGCTTTATAGGTGAGATTAAACCCAGTGGCATAATCTGTGGCATCAGAGATGAACTTCAGCTTTATAGAATTGGAACCAACAAGAACAGAGGAAGGGAGGATTTCTCCACAGAGTTTCCCTGCAAGATGAGAAAGAAGATTCTTGGCTTAGAATCTAGAAAACATCACCCTTTAAATGACTTAAAGAGAACTGAATTTTCCATGATATTTCAGGATTGTCTAAAACAGGGTGTCTCAATCTCAGCACTATTGGGTGTCTTATGTCTCTCTCTCTCTCTCTCTCTCTCTCTCTCTCTCTCTCTCTCTCTCTCTCTCT